AAAATTTTTAAAATTTATTAATTAAGAAGGATTATTACTGGGGTACCGCAGCTCGAAATCTTCTTAATTCAAATTTATCATGTGCACACTGCATATCATCAAGCTTTCTCTTTATTTTTCTTTTGAGAAGGTAAAGTTTTGCAGTGTTCCTTCAATCTCTCTCCCTCTTTTTCTCTTTTTAATTTTTGTGCTTTCTATTTTCTAACAAAAATGATGGGAACTTTGGTTCGGTCTGTTAGTTGTTGGGATAGTGCTGTTTAATAAAATTGTAGCGTGATTGGTGGTAGATTTTGCATTTTCAGGAGAAATGCCAGGTTGTTATGCACTTCTACTGTAAATAAATGTTTGAAAATTTTAAGTTTTATAAATACAATACTACAATAGCAAAACATCAAGTTCATACCCAAAAAGGGCAAAACATCAAGATTTCAAACCCTTTGCATTCCACTTAAAATCCCCTTCTATGCATGCCCTAGGTTCCAAAATCCAATCTGTGATATTGACCTTCCAATTTGCCATTCTTACTTTTCAAATTGCCCCCATTAACCTTTTTTTATTCTATGCTTACTCTAAAGCCTCACATAGGAACTCTTCTTTGCCAAAATTTGAATTATTTTTTGTTTTGCAAATTACATTGAGAACTTCTTTTTTCTTTTTTCTTTTTTTCCTTTTTTCTAAAAGAAAGTATTTAAGTGGTTTTGTAACATGTATATTTCGGATGTCATGACATTTTAGTAATGGGTATTGAAAAAGACACTGTAGTACTTTGACACTTTCAAGAGGCTGCTTTATGGCATAAAAGGAAGTCCAACATCCCTCTTTACACGGCTTTTAATTTATTCAATGCAACCTGCTTCTTGACAAAAAATGTTGGACCATACTTCTAATAATTATTTGAGAAGACGCTAAACTTTGACAAACTTTTTTCCAAAAAAAAGAACTTTGACATGCTGTTTCAAGGAATTAAAATTTTGGGACCTATTGTTTTGTCTTTATATTTAAAATTCGAACTATTTTGACTTTTATGTCGTTTTAATTTCAAATTTATTTTTCGTATTATTTGGGTTTAGAACGTAATATACTTTTTATCCAAGGCAAGAATTTGTCTTATACAACGCAAATAAACACTTAAAATGTTATTTAAGTATAGAATACTTGTATGGAAGTGTTAAATTATAAATTATATGTAAAGTCTGAAAAATTTTGCTTTATTATCTATAATTTTAAGTAGGCCTAAATCACTTAAAATTTTTAAATATGCAAATAGTATACTTATAATTAACTTTTTATTCTAGATAGAGACCTAAGATTTATACTTGGTCACATATATATAACTACCCCAAATTAAATCATATATCCCAAATACCCTTTTTTTTTTTTTCGCCTTGGTTAGAGACATTTAACGTGTGTTTTGTTTGTGGGAATTCATTTCTCTAATTCTATACCTATCATGTTTGAATGATATTTCCTTTTCAGGATTATGAAGTAAAGATATTACTATACAGGACAACATACTTGGTTGATCTAGTGAGGGAGAAAGTAGGAACTGTCTTGAAGCTCGACTCAATCAAGAATGGCAATATGTGGAAAGGCATGGACATGCTGATCTTTAACACATGGCATTGGTGGACTCACACCGGTGCATCCCAACCGTAAGATCAACCCACTTTGTTCCGTAGATAACCCTTTGGATAGGAAAATAATTAAGAAACAATTTTTTTTTTATTTTTTATAATTTTTTTAGATAGTTATATATATTAATGAATAATAGATTATTTCATCCTAATGAGACCAATAACACTATACATATTTATTTATTTAGTAATATATAATGATTATATTAAAAAATTATACAAAAAGATTATTTACATATTATTATAGCTCTTGATATAAGATGGTCGCAAAATCTCGGAGGATCTGATGATCGTGATGATGACCAGGTCTTGTGGTTTTGCAGATTTGATTACATACGAGAAGGAAATAAGCTGTACAAAGATATGAATCGTTTGATTGCATATTATAAAGGGCTAACGACATGGGCCAGGTGGGTCAACCTCAATGTTGATCCTTCCAAAACCAAGGTTTTCTTCCAGGGCATTTCTCCCACCCATTACGTGTAAGTTCAGATCTTTTATATCCCCTCCGCTATATAAGTTTACTTAATTTTTCTATAAAATTGAAATATTTTAGTTGCTGTCATGAATTTGATGTGTGTGTCTATATGTATATAAAGGGGGAGGGATTGGAATGGGCCAACAAAATCATGTTCCGGACAGGCACAGCCTTTCCTTGGCACAAGGTATCCAGCTGGCACGCCCATGGCTTGGTATGTTGTGAAAAAAGTACTTAATAGGATTAAGAAACCGGTGTATCTGCTCGACATTACCGCACTTTCGCAGTATCGGAAGGATGCTCATCCCTCAGCGTACAGTGGCCAACACAGCGGAACTGATTGCAGCCACTGGTGCCTTCCTGGCTTACCGGATACCTGGAACCAGCTCTTGTACGCAGCTCTTTTTGGTTAAAGACAAGATTGTCGTACTAAGCTGAAATTTGTAAGAAACACAGTTCTCTGCTTCAGCAACTTTATTCACATTCATGTGTTATTAGTTCTTCTTGGGCAACTCAAGGGAATAAGAGGGTTGATGATTCAACTGTAAATTTATATTTACATTTTCTCATAGAATCAGACCAATGTCATTACTAGGATTGAAGGTTATATCTGTTACAAAAATTGGAGATGAATCCTAATGACACCCAAATAAGCAAAATATATACTAATGACCTATTAATTCGGGAGGAAAGGGCTTAATTTCTCTTAAATAAAATCTTGAATTTAAAATTTATGAATGAAAAAATAATTTTTTAAAAAAACTTTTCTTTTATGAGGTTTGATTTGATTCGAGTTCAAATTAATAGAGTTAATTGAGACTCAACGTGGATTTCGAATATCAGGAGTTAGTATAAAAATTATTTTTATATATATAGTTATTAAACATAAAAATAAAAAAAGGAAAAAAGTGTTGTGTATAGTTTGGTGCAGTCTAAACTAAATTGTATTAAATTGTATTAAATTGTATAATATTAATCATTAGATGAAATGAATCCCTTAATATTAGGGCTACCCCTATTCAATGGCTTTTATTTTGTTATTTAGAGTAATTCAGATTACAAAACAAGATGTTCTAAAGATAAATAATGATAAATCAATTAGAAAACAAGTGAAAAAGCTTGAGAAAATTGATGATCCAGGCACGCAGAGGCACGCAAAACTGCACTGTCCTTCTGATCATTGTTGAATTAGCGTTCTCCTTTGAAGATACAACGTTCCTCAAAGAGAGTTTTTAGGTAGTGAAACCCATTAACCCGAACACTGATCTTTTTATTAGAACAATGTTTGTATATAAAGATAGAGAGAATTTGTAGAAGACCAGAGGAATCAAAGTTCAATAAGATTTGAATAATGACAAATAGAACAAAAATGTAGAACTAAAATTTGACACTAATGATGTGGCATAATGATGTTATTTAAAATTTTAAAAGATGAATCTTATATTGTTTAATGATTAATTTTTCTTATTTTTTTAAAATTTATAATATTATATATATTAATTAATTTAATAATATGATATATATTATATCATTGATCCCAAATTTTTATTTAAAATTTTTGTCCTTCCTATCATTTCTCACAATATATATATCCACGTAATAGAAACCAAAGCTTTTTTAGAGTAGAAAACCAAAAAAAAAAAAAAAAGTGAAAATTATAATTATGAAACGACCCCTCAAGTTAAATAATAAATTCTCAGCATATACAAGAATGGAACTCATAAAAATCCAAGCTAAGGCTTAGCAATCTCATGATGCAGAATATGGTTACCACCGTTATTAAATTTATTAAAGTCATAATAAATAATTAATTTGTTATTTAATTTAATTATTGAAAATAATTAATAATTAATAAAAAAATTAACATTTATTATTTAATAAATTAAAATAAATTTATAAATAAAAATTTATAAACATTAGTAATTAACTATTTAAAATAAAATGATAAACTATAAAATTACAATTAAATTAATGATTGGGCTTAACAAATTTGACACTTACAATTATGGTTTTCAATCCTGATTTTACTTATAAAATCATATGATTTTAAGATTTTAAGTATCCCAATAGTGTTAAATTTAAATTAAAATTGAAATTTCATAAACTTAAGATTTAAAATCTTAAAATTGTAATAAACTTGTAAAATAAGATAAAATCAAATAAAATCAAGATTTTATAAATTTAAAAAGTTTTATAAATTTTTGTGTTATAATGTGATTAATAACAAGACATTAATAATTACCAATGGTGCATTGGTGGAGTGGTGCTTCTTTTATTTATGGTTTGTTTTGTAGTGGTTGAAATGTGGGCCATGTAATTTGGCCTTTTAGGTTTTCAAACAAAATTTTTAAGGTTTTATTACTTTTTTATAAATTAAACTAATAATATTTATTATAAAATATGTTTTCAAGTTAAAATCATTAAAATTTGAAACAGTTTAATAATTATAAAATAAAAAATACTCAATAAAACTTAAAATAATTAATTACTAATTAAAATTTTTTGATAAATTTTAAAAATGAACATTTAATATTAAATTTTAATAATATATAAATTTCAAATTAATTTAATAAACTTTTGCAGTTTCTATTCTACCTAACCAAATCTATTTTACCAAGACTCTGTCTCGACAACCTTGCTTATAATAACCTCGGCCCATGATCCCTCGTTAAACCGAAAACTAAACAAAAGTCTAACCACGTCTTTTTCTTCGATCCCCGTGGTTCTTCCCAAAACTGTTGGCTTGCAAGAAAAAATGCAACTCGATCGGTAAAAAAGGTTGCTGATGACATGATTACGCATGCTAGGGATCTTCTAAACACCTTCAAAATTTAGATACATTAATTCCCTTTTTGGTCCTTCAACTTTGTACAAATTTTTAATTTAATTTTTAAACTGAAAAAAACCCTTGATGTGGTCCTAATTATTTACCAATTTGGCCAAACTTGGTCCTTTTGTTAAAAATCCATTGTTAACTCATAGGACTTAATGACATGTCAAATATTTGAGACATGTTAGATGCAAAAATGGAAAAAAAAAATTGATGACATTGCAGTATGACATATTATATTCTTGCCCAACACAAAAAAAAAAAAAGAGTTACTACAAGGAGATGCACCTATACTGACGGAACTTTTCCGTCTGTATAGACCCATTTTCCGTTGGTATAGAC